TGGCTCGTAGCCGGTCTCGACTGAGACTGCCCATAGTGCGGAGAGCCGTACACCTCGGAGCGCGCTCTCTTCGCGGGTCTCTCGTCGTAAGGATATATGGGCTCCCTAGGGGAGGCGTGTACGGGGGCGCGCTCGCCGATCGGGTAAGGGAGGGTCGCGGGCGACGTCGCTGGGTGTGAAGCATGGCGCGAAAAGTCAGCGTAGGGCAGGTTTGTGTGCTGCCTGGTGACAGCGACATCTGCGAGGGCGTCAATGGGCGATGTCTGCGCCAGAGAATACTGCGGCGGCGGAGGTGCGGAGCGCGACGAGTGCCCGTACGTCACCGCCGGCGACGACTGCTCCGCGGACGCGCGCGCGCCCTCTCTGAGAGTGAAAGCATTGTGCGGAGCATCATTGATATGCCGTGTGCCTGATAGCGACGCGGTTGGGATATTCGCATTGCCGGCGGGGTGCGCCGTCGAGGGCTCCGTGGGCGGCAGGATGGGCGACAGCGGCTCGTAGGCGGGCGGCGGAGGTGTAGGGGCGCGCGCCGAAGCTCGCCTGTACTGCTCCTTGAAGGACGAGAGGCGCCTCATGGTGGCCGTGGGTGCGGAGGTGGATGGACTGGGGCTTCGGAGGTGCGAGGTACTCGCCGGTCTGGCGTCTCAGACAGATGCGCGACTATGGAGCAGCGGCACTATCAGCGGAGAGACGGGCGGAGTAAGAGCCGGGCATGGGCATGTCCTGCGGCGAGGCGAGGCGACGGTGGGCGCGGTCGCGGATGAACGAGCGTAGGGGGACGTTTGGGAGCAGAATGATGGTGGTGGAGAAGTCGGCGGGGATTGTATTGGGAATGTTGCGACCACGACCAGCACAATCCAACCACGACTCGGCCACGCCAGCGCCGACGACACTCTCAGGGCGCGATAGGTAGGCGAGGATGCGGCGGCTTCACAGAGAGCTCGAAGCGCATGTGTCTGTGGTGTGCAGATGGGTGGCCGTTGCAGGAGCTCTGGGGAGGAGACAAGCCGCTTCATTCGCTGCAAGTCCGCGTCTCCGATTCGAGCGCTCGGTTCTACAGCAAGGAGTGCACCCATCACCATATCACCTTTCAGCGAGACATCTATATCTCAGTGCATGTCCATAATCACTACATGCTAAATCTCCGCTTTCACAGCCTCTCGTTTGCGGCGCATGTGCATCGTCATCTCGGTGCTGCATGAGTCGCTGTTCTTGGTATGCGTCCGCCACGTGATGCAGCTCGGCGCTCGGACGTGCACGCCATCCACGATTGATCCCGCATGTTCACCAACTTCACTTCTCACTACAACCTCCCCACCGCCCGCCTCCCATTACAAACCCTGCAGCCCGTCCGTTACCGTTCATCACAGTCGCCAAAGTATGAGTCGAGGAGGAAAATTGGCCCCGGAAGTCAACCGGTACGTCCGCCATGCCGCATCGCGTGCCAGTCGCAAGGCCGATGCGACCAACTCACACGACATCTGCGCTAACATGTCATGTCTACAGAGCTCTCTTCGTAAAGAACCTGAGGTTAGTAGATGCCCGAGGTGTCTAATCTGCCATGCGCTAATCCTCCGCCAGCTTCAACGTCACCCCAGAGGAACTCTTCGACCTCTTTGGCAAGTTCGGCCCAGTGCGGTACGTCGTCTCCCTCATGCGCTGGCGCATCTTGGCCTTCACCGTCACTCTAGGTCACTGACGTTAGCAAAGCCAAATTCGCCAGGGCATCGCCAACAACACCAAGGGCACAGCCTTCGTCGTCTATGAAGACGTAATGGACGCAAAGTCGGCCTGCGACAAGCTCAACGGTTTCAACTTCCAGAACCGGTATCTCGTCGGTACGTGGCAGGCGCTTCCCCAACACAGCAATCACTAACAGCAGCAGTATTATATCACCAGCCAGATAAGATGCTCAAGGCCGCGAATGATCTCGCCGAGCGCCAAGAGAACTTAGAAAAGCTCAAAAAACAACACGGTATTGATTAGGGGTGCGCGAGGACTCAGGAACAGGTGACATCGCGCGAGCGAAGTAAAGACAAAACTCCTGAGGGCCTCAAGACCGATAGCGTAATCTCTAGAAGCTCTTCGAGCCGCGGCGGCGACACGCGTACCTCGACGACCGATTCGATTTCAGCGGAAAAGACCGGCGCTCCTTCCCCGACGACTACACCCGCCTGCCGTAGCTGCGACTGGCGTACTGTAAAACGATCGTTGAAGGGTATATTCAAGTCGGCACACGGCGTTAAGAGGTCATGAAACGTTCACGAACCATGACAGATTGCTGCATTTTCTTGGAGTGGGATTTTACTTAGGATAGCTGGTGATGCATAGGGCTATAACAGACTGCAACAGGCCCCGGCTTCTTCTACAGCGGGCAGTCGGTACTCATCCGACTAGGAATCAAGGACTTCTGGTTCCAGCAATTGCATATGACGCAGTGACATGCTGACATTGATTTCTGAAGGTAACTTCCTCAAGGTCCTTCGCACCTTCCACATTCGGCTGCATCACGGGACTAGAACCGCCATCTGGCCGAGCTCGTGGTTTTCGCCAACCCAGTCGAAGCCTCCCTCAAAGTCGTCCATCTTGAACCCCGTCACCGAATCAAAACCTCTCTCTTTTCCAAGTTTCAACCCTCCCGCTTCGGCCATCTTGATCATTTCCTTCACATCTTGACCCCGGTACATGGCATGACCATGAACCGTGATACTCTTAAACACGATATCCATCATCGGAATTTCCACATCCTTCATCGCGCCGCCACCAAAGCCCATGATACACGCTCGTCCGTACTGCTTGAGCGCGCCAAAAGCAGCACGAACATGTGTACTCCCCTCCGCTCCCATGGGCGTGAACTCGAGAAACGCATCCACGGTGCCATGCTTCTGCAGATTCTTAACATCGACCTCGACGTCGTTCGTTCTCAGGACACTTGAAACAAGCTTCGGATGCGCATCCACCAGCCGCTGAAGCGCGCGCTCATTCCTTCCCGTCACCAAAACAGTCGCTCCCATCGCAACCGCCACGCCCACAGCAGCACCTGAGAAAAGCCCCGTAGCAGGCGTAACAACCAGTCTCTCCCCGGGCCTCAGCCCAATCCCCTTCAGGCCACTATACGCCACAACATCAACACTGAGCTGCACCAACTCCGGTATCGTATACCCCAATTCCCCACAAAGCCTCTTTTCATCCAGCGCCCAGGTGTTCTCCAAGGGCGCCTTAACATAGTCTGCAAACGTAGCATACCGCCAGTTATCCGCAAAGAGCTTCTTACTCCCCTCACTCGTGCCTTCCATTGCGCCCCAGAATATCCATGTATCAGCGTCGTCGCGGGCGCGGATGAAGGGCTCGAGTAAGACAAGTTGACCTTCTGACAGACATGTGGTGTCGGGGCCTGTAGCGGCGATTCTTCCCACGGCTCGTCCACCGGGGATCATGGGGGTGGGGTAGGTGAATCCCGTTTTGCCGGAGAGGATACCGGGGGTTTGGTGTTGAAGGAGGTTTGCGAGGATTTTGACGACGACGGAGCCCGGGCCGGGGGTGGGTGTTGGGATCGATTTGGGGATTAGGGGGCCGTTTTTGGTTTCTTGGAGGAGTGCTTTCATTGTTGGGGGGAGGGTGTTGGTGGACATGTTTGGGTATGAGGAATTGTCAACGTCTTGATGAATGAGTGGTTGTTATGGAATACAATTCGAAATCAGATTTGTGTACCCTTTCCTCTATCCTACCTGCCAGGTTTTCCGTACTTATACCTGTCCATGACCACATTGGTGTGCACCCTCTATGCCATGTCATCCAACTCGTTCTACTCACCTATCTCCTTCTCGCGCAAAGGCCGTCTACCTTTTCTCGGAGTTTACGCATATTACGCGCTTCATACCTTATTACATTTGCCCTATCTCAGCGATTGAATCATGCTCGCACCACACCTCCGTCGTTGCTACCCAATCAACCAATCAGACCGCCTCGCGACTGCCGTATACGAACGCGGGTTAGACTGGCTCCTTAGCGCGGAATCCTGTGGACCCTTCCCGCGGCTGCTGTATGCAGCACGACCTCATCGCTTACGCACTGCTGCCACCAGCGATGAAGCAGCTAAACTCCGGAAACGCCCTCTCGCCTAGTCTCGTACAGTCTTACACGCATATCTGGGTATATAACGGCGGCATGGACTCTTTATACGAGCGCGGGTTAGACTGCATCTACCCACCTCCAATGCCTTCCCTGTTTGCAGGCTTGCCGCACGCCTCATAGGCACTTCAACAAGAACGGAATTCGAATCGAAACGACGCTATGCCTGCCCTCGTACCCAAACACAGTGTCGTGTCAGCGGAGAAGGGTGTAAGGAAACGCCGCTGGAATGCGAAATCGAGGAATGGGTGTCAGAATTGCAAGTTGAGACGGGTTAAGGTTAGTTGTCTTGCCTGCTTATTGGTTTGGATTGGGAGGACTGATGGTTTGCGTGGTAGTGCGATGAGACGAGGCCGCAATGCGGGAAATGCATGACCTATGCAGTGGCGTGCGACTTTGAGGGCAAAGAGGGTGGGTTGAGTGTACATGTAAAGGGCGTTGGGAGGGTCGACTTTAGCGAGAGCAATGCGAGTCTGGATATACCTACCAACGAAACGAGCGGTACGACGCGCACGCCTTGGAGCCCGATATCGATCAAGGGCATTATGACTTCCATGATTGGAGACTCTCTTCGATCTGGGGCGTCGGCGCTGGATCCAAACATGGGTACTGGACAGTCATCTTGGGAATTTTCGGAAAGTCATCTTGAGATCCTTGCGAGATTTCAGAGTAGGACGTCTCTGACTGTCGGAGGTATGGTATAGCATTGAACCGTTCCGAGTATGCGGGCTGACTGACGGAATTCGTATAGGCGAGAGAATGGCCCCAGCATGCAGAGACATAGTATGCCGCCTCACATTCAACGTAACTTCCAACCCATTCCTCCTTTAGCTGTACAGAACTGACTTGTAGTGTAGCACCCCTTCCTAATGCACATGATTCTCGGTCTAACCCTGATGCACGACTCTGCTCTTGCTCACACTCCCACCCGATCTCTCTCTCTCCAAAACGCATCGCTGCGCCACTGGTCCCACGCCACAACGCAGTACCAGCGTCTCCTCTCCGGTCCCATACCTCCATCCCAACGCGACGCCATCTGGGCCACAGGCGTCCACCTCGGCGCAGCATCTTTCTGGTATCTCGAATCCGACGACCCACACGCCGCTTGGCCGCTGAAGCCTTCCGAGCCAGGCGATCTCGCCTGGATGAAGATCGGAGAGGGAAAACGCCATCTCTGGCGTATCGCGGACCCGACGAGGGAGGACAGTGTGTTCAACCGTGTTTTGAAAAAGAAGACAGGCCCGTGTCCCACGCCTCCCGAGTGGATGGTCAGCAACGACACCAGTCTCGTGCCTGAGAAGATCAAACTGTCGTTTGGTATCACGAGAGAGTCTAATAAGGAGAACAACGTTTACCACTTTCCCGTCCTCATCCTCTCGCGCATCCAGCATCTCCGCCTATCCCACAGCAACGTCTTGGATTTCCTATACTTTACCGCGTTTCTCACGCCCGAGTTCCTGGCCTTACTTGAACAAAAAGATGCAAAAGCCGTGTTTTTGCTAGGCTGGTGGTTTAGCATGTGTCGCGGTGGCACGCTTTGGTGGGTGACGCGTCGTGCGAGGGTCGAAGGAGAGGCTGTGCGGATTTGGCTGGGAAGGGTGGATAAGCGTCTTTGGGAATTGTTGGAGGAGCTGGGGAGAAGGAGAGTAAATGTTATGGAAGAGAGGTTCTGGGCTATGGAGCGGGTGGTGGATGAGGAGGGCTTTGAGACGAATTGGGCGTTGGATTCTAGAGGGAGGATATCGACGGTGGCTTAAAGACTACCTTGGGGGTTGGACTTGGGGTTCCTGGTGGACCTTGGAGCCTCTGTTATGAGGTTTAATATCTGCGACTTATCACTAGTACTACGATGATATACCGCCTGCGAGTTGCTTCCAGCTTCCGAAATACATACCGCGCCCATCCAATGAAGTCATCTTGAGGGACGCGTTGCCATTTGAAGTAGTTCAATTCCAGTGTCGGGTTCCGTATCACTCGGCACGTCTGTCTCATCATCGCTTGACTCGGGAGAGTCCACATGATCAGCAGGCGTGGCTCCCGATTGTTGGGCTCGGTTCTTCCACTCCTCCCACTCCTGTCTTGGCGTGCCAAGTTTCTTCGGGTAGCCACACTCTTTCAGAGACTTGGAGAATCGTCGCACGCAGAATTCTACTGGAGCGGTGAGTGCGTGTGATATCGTCTCCAAAGTGTATCTGAACATGAACCAGGTAGTGATGTCGAGCTGCTCGAATACTTCCTCCAGGCTCTCCTTGCCAGTACTGGGAACGAGCCAGTAACAAAGAAACCATGCGACAAGATTGGTGCCTGCGAACAACAAGAGTACGCCGAATTGATCGAGCTTTTTCAGCAACCACGGGGATAAGACGGCGAGAAGTCCGGCGCCCATGAAATTCCAACACACTGCGAGACTCATGCCGAGTTCGCGGTTGACGAGGGGAAAGACCTCTGCGGAGATGACGAAAGCTGCTGGACCTTCTCCGACAGAATACGCGATCATGAACGCTACCAAACAGACGTAGTGTAAAGCGATGGCTACAACACGTTTTTTGATCTTCAGAACTCCAGCGGAGACCAGCAAAGCCAAGGCCATTGCTGGGAATGACCGGTTCAGCACCCACCTGCGTCCACGGGAGCTGTCGATGAGGAACAATGCAGGAATCGTAGCTACGAAATTGAGGAACATCAACCCGAGGGAAGCACCCAGTAGCTGCATATTTTGGTCAGGGTTCGTGTGGAGATCGCCATTGAAGAAGGAGTATCGGAAAAAGTATTCGGCCATGAAAGCGATCAAGTTAATACCGCACAATTGTTGTGAGACCATCACGGCGGCTGCAGCTCGGTGCGCTCTATTCGTATATCCAGAGCGAAAGAAGATCAAAGTAACTCTTTCTCGCCAGCTGATGTGTTGGATGACATCGAGGAAGGGGCTCTTCGTGGTTGTATTCCCATTGGCCGCGGTTGTGGTCCTATTGGCCGTACTGGTTGTATAGGATTGACCGTTCAACGCTGCCTTCAGTCGGCGCTGCTCATCGAGCAGACGAGTGTGCATTAAGAAAATTTCGCCAGCGGCAAGTATGGGAACGGCCTCGCCTCGGAGAGCGACGAGGGAATTGTAGGCTTCCCGGATGAGCTCTCCCCTGCGAGGATCTTTCTTCGAAAGTCTACCTTTTTTCGAAAGCCTGTCGTTCTTCGAAAGTTTTCCGATGGCGCCGCTTTCCTTCAACAGCCATCGAGGGGATTCTGTTTAAAAGTCAGCTCCCAAGAATAGACAGTTCGAAGTCACAGAAGCCTCTTACCAGGAGAGAAAAGAATCAACGATAGCAGTATCAATGCAGGAATGAAGGCGGAGATGAACATGTATCGCCAGCTCGAATGCACATTGAGGCTGTACACTGCCATATTCGCGACCGATCCGGCGGCTAGCCCAAATGCCACGAAGAGCTGCCAGAATACCAGCAGAAAGCCGCGTATATTTTTAGGCGAGGTTTCAGAGAGCAGTATAGGCACGATTGAGGCTTTGCCTGCCATGCCAGCACCTAACAGGACTCTGAACCCGAGAAGATGCTCCCACTTGTGGACCGAAGCAGAGCCCACAACCGATATGAAGCTGAAAATCCCCGCGACACATATAGCACCTCGACGGCCAAAGCGGAGGATTCTGGTAATTGGGTCGGTAATGATCAAACCGAGTACTGCGCCGGCGAAGAACGGAACTCCGACTGTGACTCCGAGCAGCCAGGCATTGTGGTCGAGACTGACATTGAGATCGCCGTCTGTCCGTCTCGTGACGCCGGAGCCGGGGCCCGCGGTGGTAGGTTTATCCAAGTCATTCATTACTTCGATAGCAGCTCCTTCACATTATTAGATAAAGTAAGGTTTCCAATTTTATCGAAGTATCTTACCAGCCATAGCGGCTTGATCCCATCCCCTGGAGAGACGTCAGTTACTAGTAACATGCGCTGTGCGTCAGTACCTACTGGGTCACTGCTGCAAAGATGCAAGCGACGATCAGAAGCCAGTGCAACCTCGAGAGACTTCTCAGTGTTTCCCACCTAGTCTGTGACAAGAAAGCCTTGTACAAAATCTCGCTTTCCAGCCTTGTATATCTCTGGTCGCCGACGCGCAAATCGATGTGTCTATGCGCTGCAGCGGGTGCCTTGGAACGCGAACCCTTGATTTGCTCGAATGCAGCTCTGATGTCTCCTTGCGTTCGAAGCGCGAGGACACCGCGAACGAACACATCGCGCTCGACTCGTAATCGATATTTCTTATGGAACTTTTTGGCTTCTATTCGCGTGACCCCGTTTAGTGGATTTGAATCTTCAAGACTACGGATCACGGTTAGTGATGGTCTTGACGAAGCGTGAAGGATGTCATACTTGGGATTATCGGGAACGTATACAGGATCTACTGACGGAGCTGTCGTAGCCGAAGCCTCATCCATCGTGACCGGACGATTATAGAGTGGAGCCGCAAGCAAGAACGATCAGGCGTGGAGAATATGTAACACTGATTGTGCATGGAAACGCGTCATATTTGTATGTGGCATACATCAAAAGCCTGCCAAATATCACGGACAGGAAGAAGGCAACAAGGCGCCATGCGCAGCATGCCAGCATTCTTTGCCACGCGTAAGCGACCAGTACGCAGTCTCGTAACCTGGAGATTTGAGGCGTTCGCACAGGCCCGGGTGACGTTGCCAGCTGTTCAGCTATCCAAGATGGGGGCTAAGTGAGCGATGCCTGGCTGCTGTGCGACCCAAGGGCGCGTTAGGCTCGCGGTTACGGCTTAGACAAAAGGTCCTCCATTTCCCACCGGTCTATTCAGCCGTCGGTGTGAGGCGCAGGCAGGAATACTGAACCTGCAGATATTCCATGATCGAGGTATAGACACCCAGATCATTAAGAAGGTTGTGAATAGAGCTGTCGGTGCGACGATCTAAAGACGATTAGAATCGATGTTGTTGCTGTAGAGTGCGAAAGACGCCGTGTGAGGGCCGCGGCTCAAAGCGCCCCCAATACTTAGCGCCTAGGCCAAGGCCGGTCCTTCCTAATAACTACCGTATCCCCGCCGTGATGTATTTTCTTTTTGCAGGCGCAGTGCCAACGAAGGAGAGGACACGTCTTGAATTAGACTAGGGCCTGCTCTTGCTTCAGATCAGCGATGCAAGTCGTGCTTTGGTTATGGGAAAATGCCACGCTTTCACGCCGCAAGTTACAAGCCACGTACTTGTCCCTTGCAGTTTCGATTTCTTCTTAGTCAAGAGACTTCTGGTGCATGAGATGTTTGGTGTTGTGTGAAACGGGGGCGGCTCGTCGCCCTGCTTTATCACAGTACCATTTGGGCATGATTATCGAGATGTCTCGAGATTGAAGCATCACAACCCACAGTCGATAGACATGGGCGACTTCTGTTTTTGAAATTGCAACATTGCGATTGATAGGTAACGCTTGATCTTTTCCTGAAGTCTGTATGCTATATCAGTACTGACCCATTTCGATATCTGAATTGCTCTTCAGTCGTTTTATATCTGCCATTGATCTCCTGTCTTCATTCATATCGCCATCGCGATACATTCGCATTCTCCACTTCCAGCATGCCAGTGTGAGAGCAGTCAGAGGAACCGATATCACGAAATAAAGCCATAGTTGCTTTGACAGAACAATATTGCGAGATTCGGAGTCGAAGTCGACAAGGTTCATTCCAAACATGGTCTATGGATAGTCAACTGTGTGCACTTCAAGTAGCAGAGTTGATACACTTACGGCAACAAATGAGAACGGAAGATAGAATGAAGTGACGAGTGTAATCGCTCTGATGGCGACGGAGTCTTCTCGTGCCGATCTGCCCATGTCAAACGTATTCTTGCTCTGACTCAGGTTGAGAGTATCCAGCATTGACTGAGCAGTGGATTGAGCCCTTTTGTTCATGTAAAGAGCTTGCCCTCTGTATGCTGCAGTATCCCTGCGAAACTGGGTGAATGCCGCTTTTGTGATCGCAGAAGTGTCATTCCTTGCTTTGCTAGCTCCAGAGAATACACTGTTGGCTTCTTGCAGATCGTCTAACAGTTTTGCGAACGATACGAGTATGGGCTCGAGTGGTAAGATGTGCTTCTCGATTGCACGAACTTCTTTTAGGGTTTCGAATGTAACGAGGGGTTCGGTGAGCGATGTACATGCTGACTTCATATCCTTCGTATCTGTCAGCAAGATCTTCAACAGCTTGACATCATCGACGAGAGACTTACTAGTTGCAACAGTTTAGCCTCGTGGTACTCAAGATAGTCACGCCAAGAGCTGAGATGTGTGGATATCAGCATCGAGTGGACTAGCATGGGGTTTAGTCGCAGCCAAAGTCTGGCCTGTGGTTGTTGCAGCACCTGATAGAGATAGCTTTTGAAATGAGATGATGGGCTTGGATGTATGATGAACAACACTGATCTCGCCCGCTTGCGCTCGGCAAAGTGGTAGATTCCTGTTTGTCGAATTCGCCACGGGCTTCCCGAGTTGACAACTTTCTTTTCTGGGTATTTATAAACCCAGCCGAATTCTGATCACGGTTACAATCCCATAATCGGATATCGCCGAGGGATGACATACCAGAGCGATCATCTGTGAAGTGCGATTGCGACGCACCCGAGAATCCCTCCTCCGTTGGCAGATGTCGGTCCTTGAAGCACGCTAGTATATGAAGGAAACCAGGGCTGAGGTGATAGTGGCTCATGATAAGGGATATCATGTTGCTGCTGATGCTGAGAGGCGCCCATGTATCTTTCTGGTGAACCGTGCTAACATCTTCATGAGCCTGAATCCAGAATGACTCGGATCTACTTACTATATTTCCAACCCACTACCCTGCTCACCTGCATCATCCTCACCATTTTTCAGGTAAGCCGACAGTTGCAATGAACTAGTAAAGCTATGGGTTGATAGCGTATGCGGCGCATCTCGTGTGAAGCGAGTTAGCTCAAGCAAGTGACTATCATTGTGCTTCGAGAACAACTGCTTGCAGCCGAAAATGCTAGTCAGTATCTGTGGCCTTGATAGGGCTAGAGTGCGTGGATCATGCGCATCCTTGTCTTCTTGCTGAGAACTAGGGATCATTTCGAAGGGGTCAATCGCAGGGCGAGATGAAAGTTTGGAAAGTGCCCAGGTGGGCTACATGATATGGCTACGGACTATGTGTTTGGTTCTAGCTTATCCACAACGCGGGATGGCCTTCTTCGATCCTGCAGGAGCCCCGCATCGCCTGGGCAGGCTGACAGAGACGGCGCCTCAGTCTTTCGCAGCACTAATTGAATGCCTCTTGTCAGCGCTCACCGGTCACGAAAACAATGGGGCCGTGTTACCTCCAGTCGTCCTACAGGTGTCAGCATAGTCTTATGAGCGATTCTGAATGACTTACCGCGCTCAATTCCTTAGGAGCCTCAAATGTAAGGTATTCCTCTCCAGCTCGTTGAATCTTAAAATTGATGTTATCACCGAATTTCTTCTTGAGGAATTGATGTAGCTTGTCGCGGCTGTAGTAACGGCGGGGGGCTTGCTGCTTGAACATGGCTTCGTAGTGGCTGAGCTGAGACAAGGCAGAGTAGGAACGATCTGCCGCCGAAGGACTTTTATAGCCTGCTGGTATTTGGATGAGGCTGAAGTAAGATCGACTCGGTCTCGATCATGCCGAGGTGTTTCTGCGCTGGCGCATGCCTATAGGTCTGCTCATGGCCTAAACACTGTTGCCGTGTTTTCACAAGGGCTGTTGTGATAAGGCTAGCATAGGTACGACTGGGCAAGCGGGTTGAGGAATACATGCGGTGTTCTGCCTGTTGCGACCCGTGGACGGCTCGTTCCTGCGGGTAGAAGTGGCGAGCCTGGCGACACGCGGGCGGCGGGGCCCCGCGCAACGCGGCCCCTTGGCAATTAAGGGATGACGCCGTCCACATGGGCGGCGATGTTGCCTGCAGCCCAGTCTGCCCAGAAGTGTCTTGCTGCATCGCTGCCCCATAATTTTGCTACTGACTTCGGGAGCTCCACGTCTTACCCCAACATCGCTACCAGTGGCTCCCGCCCAGCAACAAGCTAACGAGCTCCTTGTGACCTTTCTCTGCGTTGCAGGGACAATCGCGCATGGCCGGTTCCACCGAGCGCATCTATCCTGCTTTTCGGCGCGGGTCCCGTCGCGTGCCACGGTCAAAGAATCCTTGATAGCCGATCTGCTGGGCAGCCCGATTCGATGAGCGAGAGGCCCAGTTTCTCAACTTTGCGGAGCAGCGTGTCTCTAGCGCGCGAATCACAAGTAGAACAGCTGGCTAAGAAGTTACAGAAGGCTGTCGGACATACTGTGGAAGATGTCCCCAAAACTGACAGACACTCTCGCCGCTTCTTGCCAAAGACGGATCTGGATCAAATACTCACCTACAAGTCGTTGGACCTTTTGTTCAGGGAGCTCGTTTGTATACGATCTTCCTCCGGAGTCGATGATATTTCACAAGCTATCACCAGCGATGCCGCTGACGAACGGGACGGCACCTCCCCTACGTGTGTCGACGAGACCATCGAGAAATACATTTCAGCGACAACAGGTACGCCGTCTCGAACGTCCCTACTTGCGCTATTCTTGTACCAAGACCGACTCGAGTTGCTTTTGTTATTCTTGGCTTGGTTAACTTCTGAGATTGGTCGACCTGAAGCCGATCTCAATCGTTTCATCCCATCGGATGTTTCAATGCCATTCACAGAGATCGAGCTATTTGAACATCGAGTTCCAGACAGATACCACGCATCAATACTTGAAGAGCAAGCGGTTTTCAAACCAAGAACGATTCGAAAGCTGCAGCATCATAACATCAGCAGTAGCGAACGCTTGCCCTTTGTGGGCAAGCAGGAATCAATCAAGAGCGGCTCTCAAGGACAAGTCGTCAGGGCCGTGATATCCCAAAGGCACTGGGAGATCCAGGAAGACGAAGCCCAGAAGGAGACAAATTTCGTGCCTGGTAATCCAAATAGCACAAAGATTGTGGCCCTCAAGATTTTCAAGGCGGTGGAACGTGTGCGCGCTATGGATGAGGCTACCGAGGACTTCGACATTGAGCTGAAGATCTTGAAGGAACTGAGAAAGCACAAGACCAAGCATGAGATGATCATGCTGCATTTGGGTAGTATAACGGAACTTGATGAGGTGGGAAGCCCGATCAGACACGCTCTCATCTTTGAACTGGCAAATTACAGTCTAGACGACCTTCTCAAGGACAGAAATCGCGCCCAGAAGGAGTTACTACCGTCTCGTCTGCTTGGCAGCCTTGTTGACATCATCGAAGCATTAGAATGCTTGCATAACAAGCTCGATACTTTTCATCTCGACATAAAACCTGACAACATCTTGATTTTCGAGACTCACTCCGGCTCTGGAAGTCGAAATCAGTATGAACTTACCTGGAAGCTCAGCGACTTTGGTCTGGCTGGTAAGAAAGCTGCAAAGAAACGAAGGACTGGATCTGCACAAACTTCGACGGCTACTTCGCGAGGATCCACCCTACCCGCTACAAGACCAACCGGTCTATACCAAGCCCCAGAGATCCAGGAGCCCGAAACTAGTCTCGCAGGTCAGGGCAGTGATGTCTGGTCTATGGGCTGTGTAACACTTATGGTACTTGCGTTCATTGCTGATGGTTCAATGGCAGTGAGGGAGCTCGAGACGTTATTGATGGTCAATTTCTCGGGAGGCGCTGGGAGAGAGCCTCTGTTCTACATAGGGAGCGACTCATACCTCTGGGAGAACCGCACCGCACACATCTGCTGCTATCTGCCAGACAAGAACCCAGACGTGGGTATAATCCCTCACACAGGAGAAAAGCTTAGAGCTGCTCTACATCCTCTTCTTATCTATTGGTCCAACACACTACTGAGGGCAACCTACTATCGGCGAATCGAGCAGAGATTTGTACTAGACTTGCTCCGGTTGATCTTTGGACGGGTTCTTCGCATCGATCGCAATAAAAGGATAGGAGCAACTGAGTTGCGTAGTGGACTTGACGATATTCAGCAAGACTGGAAAGCGTACGACCTCGCGCCTGGAGACTACGATAATCGCGACATTGCAGAAGTATTGAATCTTCCCCAAAGCCGCTCATCATCGCCATCCCATAGTACTGCGATGACCCAGAGGCGACCTAGAGACGACGAGCCAACTACACCTCCCGCATTCTATACGACTCATACGCGAGAAGATACTCTACGAAAGAGAGAAGTATCGCATCTCCAAGAACCTCCCCAAAGCCGCCCCTCGCAAGAACACGAAACTAGCCATCAGGTTCAACCTGACGAGTCGTTGACACAACGGGTGCCAGACGCTCGCCCCGGTATCTCCGGAACGATCATTCTTCCGACGTATATCACCAATGTAAGCAACACTCGCCAGGATGATCTGCACAACACTCTGCGAGAAGAATCGATTCAAGTGCAAGATCCAACGGCGCCAACACAAGACCCAGCAGTAGCCATACCGGATGAACAGGTCCAGGCTCAGACTGGAACGACGGCACCTACGGAACGGGGGGCAGTGCAAGATGAGCAGGAGCCCATACAGGAGCAGACAACCCAGCCGCAAGAAGAGCTTTGCTCTGCAATCGAGAGAGATGATGCTGACCGCGTTCGACTCTTGCTCAGACAAAACCCGGAGTTGTTGGGCCAGCTGTGTCTTCGCGTGGAAAGGTACCCAATACAATGGGCCCTGTTCAAAAACGCACATAACGCTCTCGATGAGCTTTTCGCCAACGCGTCTCCTGATATCATAAAGAAGGAATACAGCGGACGAACTGCACTGGAAATCGCATTGAGTTCGGGAAAGCCTGCAGCCCTTGACCGTATCTGGAAGTATCGCAGCAAGTTCGACTTTCCACGTGAGCTTTACGAAAGGCACAAGAAGGATCTAGGGTGGGAAGCGAAAGGAATTGCGGATGACTTGTTTGGTATCAAGAAACCGAGGGAAAGTAGGCTGATGGTAAAATGGTTTCAAAGGGGAAAGACATCTAATTCGCCTGCATGACCTTGCGACTGCATTCTCAGCGGTTAAAAAGGATCAGAACATCATGATGTCAGTTTGAGAGAAAACAGAAGCACGCCTCTCCCCGCATTAGTCCTAATGCTCTCACGTGTACATCGCATCCCCTTCCCACGGACGGCTGAAGGCTTGCAGTAGCTAAATTGCGATATGAGCTTCAAGATATCTGAGAATCTGGTTGCAAGCAAAAAGAGATGCAGGCCTTTCTCGCCTGAACGCGCTGGTGATGGCGATGCTGCATGGGCAAAAAAAAAAGGCAAAAACATACAACAGCGGGGATTCGCTAGTGGTCACCCACCTAACTACTAATCCGCCGGTACACTGCTTGTATATGGCTGAGCAGACGGGAAGCCTAATTCTCAGTGTCCTATGGTCGTATGTGGAAGAATGGGTTGATGGTTAGTTAAATAGAGTCGGTACCAACGGGAACGGTGAAGGAAAACGAGTTTGGATTCGAGAGCTTCGACCCCGCACTGCGGGCTCAATCAGAGTCTATACATTTCATATTACGCTTTCGGTGGACCTTGGTAGAGGGGGGTCACCAGCTTTCGGCTGCTTTATGATACCCATTTCTCGTTCACAATACATAGTCTTCTTGAAGTCCATATTCTTCCTCTAATTACTTCTGCAACACTGGCCATCCCTTGACGTACTTGATCGGATTCCATCCCAGAAACTTGAAGTTGTCTCGGTACAGCGGATCGAATGTCGTGTTGACGTAATGGTAGTATAGCACATCGCTTCCGCGATAGTCGGAAATCACTGCCTGTCCTCCGGGTGCGTAGGTGTTGCCGTGACTGCCGTAGACCATGCTTCCGCCACCCTCGGCGAGATCTTTGCCATTGCGGTCCACGAAAGGTCCGCGGGGCGACTTTGAGCGACCGACAAAGATGGTGTACTCAGCTCCAGGCGGAGGCAGCGCAGCGGGGTTATAGCCGCAGCACAAGCCAGCTGAGTACCAGAGGTAGTAGAAGCCCTGCTCTTTGTTGTAGTTGATATACGGGGCCTCTTCGGCGGATGCACCGCCCCAGGAAAGAGACATGTTCGCGTACGCCTGCTCCTTAGTCGGTAGCGCAGGATCGTAGGTATAGCTCAGCTGACGGGCAGTGGGGATCTTGACGGATTTGAGGTCCTTGGCCAACTCGAACTGCCAGAGATTGGCCCACCAGGAGCCGTAGGAGAGGTAGCTTTTGCCGGTCTTGGCGTCTTGAATGAAAGCCGCGTCGATGGTGTTGGTCTTGCTCAGCGGAAATGGAGCGTCGGTGCTGTTGGAAGAGACGACCATGCCGTGGTCAGTCCACGACCCGTTTTGCAGGGTCTCCGAGGTAGCAAGCCCAATGAATGACTCTGAGACACCAAAGTCGGAGACGGTGTAATAGCAGTAGTAAGTATCGCCGACCTTGTGAACGTCTGGGGCCCTACAGTATTGCGTTAGAAGGTGATATCTTGAGGTATTGATGAGGTTGCCTGTTCTCACCAAAGACGGCTTGCCTGAGCGGGATCATCAATGCTGCCAGGCGGCTCCAGAACTTGAGCGACCACCTCCCAGTACCCCTCCAGGCTGTTCTTCTTCGAAGCACGGGAGGTCGTTGCCAAACCATGAGATGAAAATGAGTAGTAATGGCCGTCTGGTCCGAGCACAATACTGGGGTCATGAATGTGGACACCACCAAGCGCACCGTTCAAGTCCTGACCTGTGATCTTGCGCGGTGCAGGCCAGTGTTCTCTGGAGTAGGGGTCTTTGAGAGGTTTGGGCGAGGTGTAGGTTGGTGAAGGAGCGGAGAGGGCCAGGGTGAAGAGTGATGAGAGCCCGAAGGCAAGAGCCGTGAGGCTGGCTTTGGTGGAGGACATCCTGGGTAGAAGACGACTTGGTGCGGCGATAGACCTCGATGATCGGGAAACATCCTAGTCTTATATAGCATACCGCATTTCGTCTATGATGCGGATCTGTCTCTCGCGCCTGGGCAAATCTTGTGTGCCATGCGCATGCGAACGGCGCATCATACTGCCCTTACAGCGACACCCTTGTCGCGAACCACGATCCGTCCAGTCGGGTAGTCTAAGATGGGTAACGGTTCCTGGAAAAGGAAGGCAAAGAGTCGTTCTCCGCAAGTGACGTTCCAAAGGTGGAGATGGAGCCTTGGGGTAGGAAGTCTACGGGAGGCGGAGGATCTCGATTGCTCGAATCAACGGCCGGGAAAGCCTGCTACATGTAGTGGGGTCTAAGCTTGGCGGCCTCATCTCGTCTCTGGATCCCGACATTAGAGAAGCGGTGACCAAAGATGGCACGGAATGTGAAGAGATGGTAGCTCGGCTAGCGATGTAGCGTTCGGGTATCGTGAGAAGAGGTAGGCAGACAGCCGTCCGGTCGCTATGTCTCTGCAGGCTGCTTATGCCGATGCGCCCACAATGTCTTGCGGCTGCAGCAAGAGTGAAAGTACAACAGTCAAAACAGGGAGACCTCGTCGGATGCCAGTTCCGCAAGATCTCTACGCGAGTGGGTGGGCGCGTGTTGGGGGATTGTTTACCGGACGTGCACGGACCTCGGGACCCTTGACTTTAGCAGGCTTTTTAGATCGATGCCACCGAAAGTTGATTTCTGTATGATCAATCGACCTGCGCGAATGCGTGACTGCGAATGGCGAGCACGAAGACGCGACTGGCGACCCAAGGGAGCATGACCTGGCGGTTGCGACCATGCGAATTATGCAGTGAGCCTCAGCCGATCGAGCCAGAGCCATCTGACCGGCACTGCCCCAAGACTCCTATTCGCCCTTCCTGCACATCGCGCAAGGTATACACCCCGATTACGCCCATCGATGTGTCGTGGCTCGAATGAGCTCAATTACCATGGCCTGAGCCGGAACCTGACAATGCGTTGCGCCTCCTGCAGCTGAACTATTGGATGATGTCCACCTGGGGGTTCAACATAAGCGCAAGCACCTGTCGCGCTTTCATCCAAAATCACGTCGACAGGATCTCCGCACATCGTTAGCATGTAACGTCACAACAATCGTTCATCATGGTCGACATCAGTTACCCTCAACTGCGCGACGATTGGAGCCTGGATGTTGTTAACATCCTTGCCTTTCTAGGCGAACATAACATTCTGGCGTGCAGCCAACAAATCTGCATGTCATGGACATGCTTCCTACCAAGGCTGATTCCGGCACCTCAAGGTCTACTCGCTCAACGGCCGAAAAAACTAGCATCTGAAGAAGACACACCGGTGACGGGAACACAGTCGGGTGTCGGCAGGCCAGCCTCACGTCTCAACAGGCCAGCCTTACAATACTTTGGTCGGATGTGTCACACTGATGGGTCCGAGTTGCCAACCTTTACAACACGTGTACTCAAGATAAATTGGGACCCCAAGAACGAAGACGGAAGCCTGAAACAAAGCCCACTTCGACCAAGGCTGTTTTCGCCAATGAATCTCATCGCCATCTTCAGCTGCGCGCTGAGCTTTGGGCTAGCTGCTTGGGCCTTTGTGCTTGGAGATGCCGTTGCACTTACCGGAATTCTCATCATGAGCTTCACAACCCCTCTATTGTGTGTCGGCATGCATTGGAGACCGCAATCTCATGTCTCAATTCATCGAGGAACGGGTGATGAGTCGGTACCCTTAGTAGTCATAAAGTCTTCGAACGAATGTCTCACGGTTGTGGAATGTAGCAAATACGTCGCGGATCTCCTCTACTTCCATCCAGAACACATAGACTATGTGGTCAAGTCGCCGCCTGGACGCGGACTCAGCGGTACTGTGGGCGGAATCACCCTTGTGGGCTCCATTGTACTTTTCGGCAATGCAGTATGGACGATGAAAACAGCGCTCGCTGTCACATATACGATACTAAACCTTTTGTATTGGGTCGCCGCGATTCTCCCCGTCCGATTATCGTGGCACATCGATCTGATTGTCAATCAAACCCAGGTTACTGAACATGCAGAATTCATTCACTGCCTGTGGACAACGATCTACACCATGAAAAAGATTGATTGGGCAAGAGAATATGTGCCAAAGACGAATTTGTGGGACCTTTGGCTGAAAGAAGCACAACGTATGGCTGAATCACAACCAGGACCCAGAAACTCGGATGCACACGATGTTTTGATTTTCTTTTACGAAAGAGAAAAGGTGCTCAAGAGACAGCAGGAAGATGATCAGTAATTTAGTGGTATCTAGAAGAATGAGAAGGATGGTTTAGATGTAAAGTTTGATACTTAGTCTATGGTAGAAGAAAATGAGCCTCGTGGTTCCATTAGTCTTTGCTATAGCCCAACAGCTTTTGAGGCTATAGCTGGCTTATGCTGACATCTTCCCTTAGGCAAAGGAATCGGATAGACATCAAAACATTCACCAATGCATCTAATGCACTCCAAACCAAGATTCGGGGAATGTCCAGGTGCGATACCGGAACGAACGGACGTATAACCAGCAATACCCATGTCTATCTCCTATCAAGATCTGGAGCGGGCCTTCATCGGCCGATTACAACATCCCGTCATCGCGAGAACCCTGCCAAGCCACGACGGGACTTGTTGTGCAGTCCAACATCGCGGACGCTAAGTATCAAGAGCTGAGCTGTGACTGGCGTCATTAGTCAGTCGTATGTTTCCTCGATTCCGGGCTGCGAATCAAGCGGGTCAAGATACCCGGATACCTATCTTCAGGATGGCAAGCATTTCGAGCTATGAAGGATCTACTGGAGGCTGGGCGGAGCTTGTCAGAATTGAGATTGCGGAGGTCGGGGGCTAGTATTTAGGTGTCGGGACCCTCAGATTCGCACGATCACCGTTGCGAGGTGCATGCCAGAAAATACCTGCCGCAATGGTGAACCCTACCCCAGTACTCGTCGCAGCTTCCTTGCTCATCAGCCCTCTTGCCGCCACTTCGTTAGGAAATAATGAGTATGACGCCGACTTCTCACCCAGGTAATGCTATGCCCACATCTCTGAAGTCCACCATACTAATCCCCCCAGCT